GAGAGTATATGGGGGAGGGTTTTTTGTTTTGGCCATTATCTCGAAAGTTACATCATAGGATTTTTTCTTACTATTACATTCCTATTCTACTTTTTGATTCTCTACACGATAGGCATTTCAAATTGCTCGCACAAAAATAACGGTCACCCTCGGAACGAATTGTATAGATTACTCTGAATTATGTAAGAAACAATTCATATTTGTTATTTAATTTTTGATTTAATTCCCAAACACTAAACACTAGCGAATATTTTTAATATTAATAGATAGACAATAATTTCATTGGAATATCATTACACATAGAATTATTAATGTATTGTGGAAAACAAAAAGACAATTATAATAACATTAGCACTAATTTAAATTTAAATATTAAAATATGGTAAAATCTATACATGATGAAATATGATAATGACAACTAAAAACATTGGAATTTATAATTTGGAGACATGTAAAATTAAATGTTTAATTATCTAAATAATAGGTTTTAGAAATAAGAAAAAATAGTGATCGTGATAATTGGACGATTATCAATGCTAATCACCGCCATTAGATTTGCATTGTTGGCAATGGATGATAGTGTAAGTGGAAGTGTATTTTATTTAACATGAAAATTATTAAAGTTAAAAAGAATAAATTATAGTAATTTATCTATATTAATAGAATCAATAATATTCATGGTGTATTATTAGTATTCCTATATAGTTAATTATTATATTTTTTGCCAGCCCTGGATGCGTGATGTGATGTGTAACCCAGCGTATAATTTAGGCAACAAGATGGTTGATATCACAATTGCTGTGAATATGTTTGATTTGTTTTGCACCGGATGTGTGATAACACATCAGGAGCTGAGCCATACCCTACACGTCATGCGATACTTTAACCTCTTTAGACACAATCGCATTGAATACCCCCTAAACGCCTATCATATGAAAAGAGGCGCAAAATTGGTTAATATTGCCACAAAATATTTTATGAATCCAACAATCCTTGTAGCAACTGTGCTGTGCATGTTATTGTACATATATAAATCACTCGAGGGCTACTATGATCCAGATAATAATTATTCGTTATTTAATCTAGCCGTTCATTTTATTATATTTCAAGTAGCAGTCCTACAAATCGTGACACTTGGAGTAACTGGTTTTGCCCTATGGTTTCTCGTGTCGTTATATTTCAAACTTAAATTCAACGAAGTATATTGTAAAATACAATTGTCACAGCGTATAACGGCTATCAGTGTCGAGAATGGAAGGAAAATAGTTCCATGCATCACCCTGTATTTTTCAAGAAAATGTACGCATATACTTACTATGATTAAAACATACACATAAAACCGGTTTTGAGCAAACAATATTTTAATGCATTATACAAGAATTAACTCCAGATCACATAATGCATCAGATGTTATGATAAGACCGCATTCTTAATCAATTGTCGTACTTCTATATAATATTGATTTTAACTAAAGTGTAAATCTTATGCTTTTTATATTAGAAATGTGATCCTATTTTAATATCTAATATATCATGTGACCTGGAGTTAATCCTTATGTAATGCATTAAAATATTGTTTGCTCAAAACCGGTTTTTATGTGTATGTTTTAATCATAGTAAGTATATGCGTACATTTTCTTGAAAAATACAGGGTGATGCATGGAACTATTTTCCTTCCATTCTCGACTCTGACGGCTATATATGGCTGGAATCGTTTAACCTTATATAATTTATTATGCGAGCACAATTATCTGGTTAAACTAACCCGTGAAGTTGACCACTTTTTTCGATCAATCACTTTTATTATATATTATTTCGCTACGCCAGCTTTGCAAATAGCATTGTACGCTCTTTACCATAAAAACACACAGGCAACATGGTTTAAATTAGTCTATTCAATAATAGTAATCACATCTATATTAGGTTTAGTTGCTTATAGTGTGTTAAGCACACGAATCTCTACGGCCGCCCATAAGCCGCGTCCACTCCTGTACTCATATTTGGCCCCTTTAGGGTTTTATGGCGAGGCAAATTCCGAATTCTGTGACCGTAACTAACAACGCTTGTGCGGACCCGCCATTGGTTTCTATTGCTATGATTTGTTTCCAATGAATAATTACGAGTTCTATCGCTAATAGATCACTATATATTGTTGGTGTGAATCAGTTTCTTATAATGGATTTATTTAGATAAATAACACCATTTATAATAATTAATAAGTATTCATTAATTAATTATATATAATTATTAAGTAATTACTCTTTGCTGAGCATTTGTATTTCAGATATGTATAAAAATATAGTCAAGTGCCGTTAGTGTATACAACCATTACTATCCCATTATTATTGAAATCATAAGTTATTCATAACTTTGTATAATGTATTATTTATTCATAATTAATACAAATAATAAATTATATAATTAACAGGTAAGTCAGTTTAAAATCACTGTATTTTTAATATCATATTTAATATGTAATTAAAGAAGTAGTTGTTATTTAAAAAATACTTCAGTTTATCTATCATATATACTGTAATATTAATTTATATAATTATGATAAAACATATATATTAATCATTAAAATTGATTTTTGGTCATATTTAAGTTTAAGTAATTTTTTCAGATTTTGCATTAGTTTTATACGAATTTAAATAAAATCTATAAAACATATAAAAGAAAGCAAATGGTTGTAAACCAGCCAACCATTTAAAAGCCATTGCATAACCGGACAAATCATTAACCGATACGCTATACATGACGTACACTATAAGTATAGCGAACTGTATTAACTGCAATCGTGTGATATATCTCTTCCACCATAAATAGGGCTGTATTTGGGGTCCAAATGCCGACAACAGGTAATAGCTATACATAACTGTGTGTACAATAGAGTTAAGCAAACAAAATACTTCTATGGCTACGGTTTGTGGACTCAATTTTGCGACCAAAAATACCAACACTGGAACTATTGGTAAAAAGTTATATAAATTACATATTTATAAAATTAAATACAATTAAAATATACCCATAAAGTGATGGTAAACGTGAAGAAATGAGAGTTGATTTGACTTTTTTCTCAACACAAAGAATACGGAATCAAACAAATCAAATAATTTTGTATAAAAATAAAATGCTTTTTCTGGTATTTCAGCAATTGCTTTGTCTGACCATTGGTTACGTTCGGGTAGTTTTAAATCCCATGATTTGTGGCCGTAGTCTAGCCATCCGATCGACGCGTATGTAAAGTAAGCACTGATTACAACTAATATAAAGTTATAAATTATTATTATTTCGCGCAAAACAAACGGCTTTCGGTCTCTCATGAAATTTGGTCCCAATTTTGTGACAAATATAAGCCATAAAAACATAATCGTTAGGAAGAGCTCCGGACCACCGCTTAACAGGAAATAGGGTTTAATCCTATCGTCCGTCTCATTAATCCAATAGTCATGTAATACATAAAGCATTTTATCGCTAAACTTTGTAAAATAATTTACCATCATTATAAAAATAGATTATTCTAATGTTTAATACAATATAAGTTTCTAAATAAAACAAAATATTTAGACACAATCATTGTATTATTGTATAAAGAAAATGAATAAATTAAAATCTAAATTAAATAGTCTTTTTCCTTATAAAATAATGAAAATTAAGATTGTAAATATTTATTACTAATGAATAATTAAAATGTTTAACTAGTAAACACAACGTCAATATAATAATTTAATTCGTATTTTTCTAAACAAATTATCACATTTGTGTTAAATATTGTAAATTTTGATAACGTAATTGAATTCATTGTATTTTATAAAATAATTTTAAATAAATAAAAATTAAGAATTATTTACAGAAAAAAATATTTTAATTATAAATTAATTAATAATAACAAAAATGCTCACTAAATAAAAACCTATTCTAAATAAAGTTTTTTAAATTATTTAATTTAATTGATTTTATAACTGTAAAACATCATTTTAATACAAAATAATACAGTATTGTTAATATTTTATTTTATTATTATTTAATAAGGTAATACAGTATAGAACTGTTTATATGAACAATTTAAATTTTTAAAATATAAGAATATTGTATGTATTAAGTAATTATATAACAAATTCGATGTTACATGATCGTGAATAATTAAGTGTGTAACAATAAAAGTATAATAATATAAACTTTAATCATACCAAGAGAATTTTATTTCATAATTAGAAAGGTAAAGTAATTTTACTTATAAAACATACAATGATAATAATAATAGACATAATATTGATGTGAACTGTGTTATATTAAATACAATATTTGATTAAATAATAATTATATTAATAATTATACTAAATAATTATGCTATTTATTTTTATGATAAGAATTAATATAAAACCTGAGAAACAAATAAAAAAATACAAATGGTTGAATACAGGCCACAACTTGTAGAGGTAAGGGATAATCATAAAATATAGCCGGATATCCATATAAAACACCGTAGAAAAAGAAATATATCATCATGGCAAATTGTATTAACTGCAATCGTGTGATATATCTCTTCCACCATAAATAGGGCTGTATTTGGGGTCCAAATGCCGACAACAGGTAATAGCTATACATAACTGTGTGTACAATAGAGTTGGCAAAACAAAAGCCTTCGACAATAATAGTTTGCGGACACAGTTTGGCCGCCATATATCCCAACACAGGAACTATTAAATCAAATAATAATAATTATTATTATGAATATAATATATAAATAGTTGATAATAATAAATAATATACAATAATATTGAAATATACCCATAAAGTGATGGTAAACGTGAAGAAAAGTGATTTGATTAGACTTTTTTCTCAACACAAAGAATACGGTATCGAATAAATCAAATAACTTAGTGAACGCGTAAAACGCTTTCTCCGGTAATTCGGCGATCGCTTTCTCTGACCACTCGTTACGGGCCGGCAGTCGTGTCAGTACGGGTTTATTGAAATAGTCGAGCCATCGGAGCGACGCGTATACAAAATAAGCATTGATTACAACTAATATAAAGTTATAAATCATTATTATTTCGCGCAAAACAAACGGCTTTCGGTCTCTCATATAATTTGGGCCCAATTTTGTGACAAATAGTAACCAAAACAACATAATTGATAGGAAGAGCTCCGGACCTCCGCTTAACAGTGGGTACTCTTTGAGCCGATCGTCGGTCTCTTCGGCCCAATAGTCGTGTAAAACATATTTAATTGAATCAAAATTTATTATTTTATTCATTTTCATTAACATTTATTAAATAATATTTTAAAAAACTAGACATAAACTATTTTGTAATAACTTTTATTTATTGTAATTAACATTTTAAATGTAATTATATATACTAATTGTAATAGGATATGACCAATTGTAAAATACACGGGCAGATATTTTAATTAGTGTTAAATTAAATAACAAGCTTAAATAAACTACAAAATCCGATTTGGTATTGTTTTAGCTTGTATAAGGAAAAATATGCAAGCATATTTTTATATTGAATTAAGAATATACACGTACATTATGCCCAAGAATATTGGTTCATTGTTACATTTACATATTGTAGTTCTTCTTGGAAATCAGTGATAAATATTGTTAAATTAAATTGTTTCTTAAAACTTACAATGTTAAATAATGAAGCTAAATTAAAATATCTACATAAAATTATCATTTTGTTAATTAACTAATATAATTACTTAAATAATTACATTGAATAAGTTATAAATAATTTTAGATTCAAATGTTAATATCTATAAAAATTAAAATGATAAATCTATTATAACTGGTTGTTTAATTAAAATTTATAAAGTTCAGATTTTATTATATCTGGTTATTTAATTAAAGAAAGAACAAATATCTAATAATTTATTACATTTAAAATATTTAATAGTAATTGACATTTAATTCGTTAGTAGTGGCACTGCTCTCATGTAACAAACTGCAATATTATTTTTGTAACTTTTTATTATGGTAAAAGCATTAAAAAATTAAAGTATTTCTGGTTTTAGTGATTAGTCTTCACTGATTACTTGTGATGTTTATTACAATATTTATGCAACAAATATTGAATCATTTAAATCAAAAGTTTTATTAAAAATTATAAAGATTATATAAAAACAAATAGGCATTTTTGATTTTAACATTTTTAATATGTTTGTAACTAATGTAATGTATATTTGAATTACATTTTGTATAAAAAAAACTGTACATACTCGTAGCCAAACAGACCCCCCCCCATTAGGTAGAAGCACTTATAATATAAACATAATTTGTATAATTTTAATATATTAATTAATTATTATAAAAATATTGCTACATAATATTTTGCTATAAGAATCCAAAATATAATGATTAAATTATTTACTATCAAATACAATAGTGTATATTAATACTTTACTTAAAATAACTATGAATTATTTGCAAAATATAATTAGTATTTAGAACAACTTTATACTTTATACCTTAGAAGGAAATACAGTGAATATCACCTAGCTGATCCAGTCGTGATTGATATGGTCATGTCCAGTATTGTATGGAGATTCATAAACAATTTTCAAAACGTGCGAATGGCCAGAATCACCGAAGTTATGGCCAAATTTCCAACCACTTGCATAGGGCTGAATGCATTGAAAATTGGCTTTTCACATGAGTAATGCCATTCACCAAAACTATAATGCTATAAAGCGTATGCAAGTGTCTAGAAATTTGGCCATAACTTTGGTGATTCTAGCCATTCGCACGTTTTGAAGATTGTTTATGAATCTCCATACAATACTGGACATGACCATATCAATCACGACTGGATCAGCTAGGTGATATTCACTGTATTTCCTTCTTAACTAGATTTTATAGTCTTACAATAGGAATTGACATAAAATCTATAAAACATATAAAAGAAAGCAAAGGGCTGACAACCGCCGACCCATACGACTCCTATGGGATAATCATTATAAGTGCCACACATTAAACCACTTATTAAAACCAGTATAAATATGGCGAACTGTATTAACTGCAATCGTGTGATATATCTCTTCCACCATAAATAGGGCTGTATTTGGGGTCCAAATGCCGACAACAGGTAATAGCTATACATAACTGTGTGTACAATAGAGTTAAGCAAAC